CCTTGCATTCTAGAATTTTGGAAAACACGAAGCAACGGGTGTCTTTTGGGGGCTAACATGCCACAATTAACCCTCACAATTGTGTAAAGTTTTGACCTCAGATGGCAATTTTGAAATCAATGAGTCTTTCTCTCGGAAAAGGGATAAGTGCTGAAATAAAAATTTTAGCTAAACACAGACGAATGAAACTCAAGTTGAATAAACAAAGAATAAATGAAACTAATATACTTGTATTCAGTCCTAGCACAGGGTCAGTAAACTCCCCATCCCTTCATGAACCTAATATTGAATCCTAAACAATTAATTAATTAATCATAAAAATTATTACACCATAAAATGTTATAATAATAAAAAAATTCTGTTATGTCACAGAGTAGAAAAGGAGAAGACTGGTGCTGCCATCTATTGGCATGGTATCCTCAGTGTGGGCACCGGTATATATTACACATTGGTTTTAAAATTGTATAAATAATCTTCTGTTAATTATCACTTCTAACTGAAATGAAGTAAATATGTAAGATTCAGCAAGTGTATGTAAGATTCAGCAAGTGTATGTCATATATTTGCAGATTTTGAATTTTTTCTTCCCCTCCAATAAAATTTATGTTGAATCTTTGGATTATGGTAACTTGGCGATTTTTTGGCGAAACTTTGGCGAACAACCCTGCTACACAGCAACCTGCTAGTGTTTTTGGCTGATCTTTGGAATATGGTAACTGGTAGTTTGACGACATTTTGGAGGCGATAAAGGTTACTACCTAGGACTTTGGTAATAATGTGAGAAGTACTCAGTTCCGATTACGCATTATTTAGTGCGAGGGAAATGAGAGATCATGAGATATGTCATGTGACATTAATGGACGAATTACAGTTCTTTAATCGGAAAAGGGGGGGGAATTTGGAAAACTGTAGTACTATATTATTTTGTATTAAGCTTCATTCTGTGTTGTGAGAAATAGTGGAAGTGTGCGTGCCACGTAATGAAGATTAGGTAAGTTAGTATTTTTAATCATTTGAGGATAATTTTTTTATGCATTGTTCTAAATGTAAGAAGTAAATAAATTAATATGGTATTATTGGAAAATAGTTATTAGCTATGATTTAGTTTAAAGTAATTAGGATTGTAATCTAATTTTTATTAATTTAATGTATGTGCTTATTTATATTTTAAGTAGTGTTTTTTAATTTAATTATATTTTAATTTAATGATCGTGATTTTGTGAGTTATATGTTTGTAGTATTTTGGAATACGTTTGAGTAGAATACGTTGAGTATTTTCACGCATTTTCGTGAAATTTTTCTAATTTATGAGAAAAAAGCAGTGTATACGGATATAGTGAAGAGTGTGCGCAATGCCATTTTTGTGCAATTCTGGGATTTTTTTTTAAGTAAAAACAAGTCGACGTGTACATGGTTTAGTGATATTTTAATTAAATGATAGTTATTTTGTGAATTTTATGTTTGTAGGAATTTGGTATACGTTTCAGTTGGAAGTAAACGTGCATGGAAATAATTTTAATATTTGCATGGAATTAATTTAAATATTTTAAATATTTACTTAAGTATTTGTAACCATTTGTAATGTTTGCGGTATGAATTCATTGGTGACGTTTATAATATAATAGATAATTTAAAGGTAAAAGTTTTTGGATATTTTATTTATTTTATACGTGGAAGTGTTTAATTTTTGGAAAGGGTATATACTTTTTCGCGATCAGGTAATTTCATATATGTTCTTTTTACCGGATTTAAAGATTCACAAAATTTTCATGCATTTTCGTGAAATTTTTTTAATTTATGAGAAAAAAGCAGTGTACATGGATATAGTGAAGGGTGTGCGCAATGCCATTTTTGTGCAATTCTGGGATTTTTTTTAAGTAAAAATAAGTCGACATGTACATGGTTTAGTGATATTTTAATTAAATGATAGTTATTTTGTGAATTTTATGTTTGTAGGAATTTGGTATACGTTTCAGTTGAAGTAAGACTGTATGGAAATAATTTAAATATTTGACACTAAGTATTTGTAACCATTTGTAATGCTTGCGGTATGAATTCATTGGTGACGTTTATAATATAATAGATAATTTAAAGGTAAAAGTTTTTGGATATTTTATTTATTTTATACATGGAAATGTTCATCCTTGGAAAGGGTATATACTTTTTCGCGATCAGGTAATTCATATATGTGCTTTTTACCGAGTTTAAGATTCACAGAATTTTTTTGCATTTTCGTGCAAATTTTTTGTAATTTATGAGAAAATAGCAGTGTAGATGGATAAAGTTAAGAGTGTGTGCAATGCCATTTTTGTGCAATTCTGGGATTTTTTTTAAGTAAAAATAAGTCGACGTGTAAATGGTTATGTGTATGTGCTATTCGAAAAAACGTGCAAGGAGTTTGCGATTGTGCCCTTTTTCCCAATTTTGCAGTTAATATTTGTCATGATTAAGCAGTTTTGTTACATAAAATTTCTAGCATAAGTGTAATTCAGCTAGTAGATTGTTGGAAAAAGTGTTCAGTAAATGAAAAGAAACATGTCTTTACTTCATGAAAACAAAATGGCAGCGGAAAAAAATAAATAAATAAATGAATAAAAAATAGAGGGTTGCTGTAGCAGAGTTGGTTGCCAAATTTTCGCCAAAAAATCGCCAAGTTACCATAATTCAAAGATCAACCGTGTTTTTTTTTTGGACACCATTTTGTTTTCAGAAACTAAAGGCCTTTTTTTTTTACTCAACATTTTTTCCAACAATCTGCTAGCCGAATTACGCTTATGCTAGAATCTTTATTGAACAAAAGTGCTTAATCATGATGAAGATTAGGTGCGAAATTGGGAGAAAGTTTAGAATCGCCCACTGCTTGCCGCATTTTTAAGAATTGCATATACACGGTATCCATGTGCACGTCGACCTATTTTCACTTAAAAAAACATCCCAGAATTGCACAAAAATGGCATTGCGCATACTCTTGACTTTATCCATGTACACATCGACCTATTTTTCACTTAAAAAGTCAAAGAAAATTGACAAAAATCCAATCTTCTTACTCTTGTAAAAAGCGCCAAACAAATAAGTGGGCGATTCTGCACTTTAGCAGCAAAATTGTTTCTAAGTGCTTATTAGCTAAAGTCCTGATTGGAATTTTCCGGAAAATGTCACATTACACGTCTCATGATCTCTCATTTCTCCGAGACAAAATAATCTGTGATTCGAACTGTGTACTTCTCAGATTATTGCTAAGTCCTAGCTAGTAACCTTTATCGCTTTACCAAAATGTCGCCAAACTACCTGTTACGGCTGTATTGTTAGGCGAATCATCTTTCCCACTTTTCCCTACACTAGGACAGATGCACATGTGGAAGAAACCTGCACAAGCGTATGATTGTGATTGTCTCTTTCCAACCGTCAAGCATACAGTGGAACCATCACAATATGGTTTTCTGCTTGCCCGACTGTATCCCAGCAAAGAAGGATCACTGGGAAGAAGAATTAAGAAGTTTTAGTTGACCAAGTCCCTCCTGTGATGCAAACTTTGTTTCCTGCAGGAGACAGAATTTTCCAGGATGATAATGGTCCTATTCTTATGGCAAGACTTGTCCAATCATGGTTTGATGAACACGAGGATAAGGGAAACATCTACCTTAGCTTACGCAGTCTCCCGACCTCAATATGATGGAACCATGATTGTCTGTTTTAGAACGCTCAATCCAGAATCAATATCCTCCACCAGCATCTCTCCTGGAACTTTCACAACATCTTTAGGAAGATTGGTACAATTTCTCAACACACTATTCAGCACTTTTATGATTCCAGGCGAATCTAAGCTGTATTACACACCAAAGGCGGTCATCGGCCATATTCATATATTCCTTATAAATCTAGTATTCATTATTTTGACAACCACCTGTATCCATTAAGTAAAAAAGACGGTTAATCTTTAGATTATGGTATCTTGATGATTTTTTGGCGAAAATTTGGCGACCAACCCTGCTACAGCAACCTCCTAGTTTTTTTTTTTTATGCCATTTTGTTTTCACGAAGTAAAGCCATTTTTTTTTTTTTTTTTAACTCAACATTTTTTTCCAACAATCTGCTAGCCGAATTACACTTATACTAGAACTTTTATGGAACCAAAGTGCTTAATCATGATGAAGATTAGGTGCGAAATTGGAAGAAAGTGCAGAATCGCCCACTGCTTGCTGCATTTTTAAGAATTGCACATACACGGTATCCATGTATACGTCAACCTATTTTCACTTTAAAAAAAAATCCCAGAATTGCACAAAAATGGCATTGCGCACACTCTTGACTTTATCCATGTACACTGCTAAAGTCCTAGCTAGTAACCTTTATCGCCTAACCAAAATGTCGCCAAACTACCTGCTACCATATTCCAAAGATTAGACAAAATGACATTCATTTTTCAATTTAATGACACCTCTCAGAACATGTATAAGTTTTTCTTGATGAAATATAAGGGTAATACACATACTTTACATACTGTATTTAATAACTGCCAACTATCCACAATAAAATAACTATTGTAATCAGAGCCAGATTTAGACTAATGCCCTAAGCTATTTGAGAAATGGGGGGCCCTTTATAAGTTTGTTATAATATATTTTAATACTATTTATACTATATTTTAATTTTGGGGAGGCCTTAAGCTATAGCTTGTGCAGCTTATATGTAAATCTGGCCCTGACTGTAATTCAAATAACATGAGCTGAACAATTCTTTTTTAGTTTGCACTTTATAATAAATTTTTCTATTTAACTACTTCAAGGCGATTAAGATAAAATTTATGATTTATATTAACTGTATAGTTCCTCTTTTATTATTCAGGAAGAAAATATTTTCACAAATCAAAATGTTTCTTGTGTGACATAATTTATTGTTGTTGATTTCTATCAAATTATTAAAGGCAATACACTTACATCACTATTATTTATTGTAAAAATGAAGCATTAATAATAAAAAAATACTTAAAACGAGCTCACCTCAAGTAAGGTGCATTCGTTTCACCTTGAGCATTAACTTCGAATAATTTATCAGCTCTTAAACCATCAGCAACTATTAAAACAAGCCTTTTAGCTGGTGGTGGCAGTGGTGTTGAATAAGGAGTCATTCCATGAATAATTGGAGATTTAAAATAAACATCGACTACAGAATACAAAAATATGGTATGAATTATAACACCAAGAAAGCCGAAAAGAATCATTATTATAGCAAGAAACTTATATTTAAAACAAAATAAGCTATATCGAATAAAGTTAATAACATAAGTATTTAAAAATAAATGTAATGAGAAGTTCAGCTTTCTCAAAGCTAAATTTTTCAACTACAAACAGAATTTATGAATTACACCGCCAAAACTACGGTACAAGACACGCTGCACTGCTTCAGATAACACTTCTGCTGAAACAGAAAAAGTCTGGTTTTGGAATAAAAGAAGAAATATTAAACAATGTGGCTCTGCTAGCAACAAAATATTTTACGTGAAATATTTGAAAATTCGGTTTCATTTTAATATTTATCATTAAAATGTATTTTAATATGAGATTACAATATAAAAACAAAATAATTGAGTATTTACATGAACATGTTTTATGATACCGACGTAAAGTTTGTTTAAAATGTGTGATGCTTTTCCATTCATTTGCTGTTTCGTCTTTGGCAACGAACTTTTACAAAGCGGGTATTTAATAAAGAATATTTATTATTGAAGTTAGAGATTTAATAGATTCGAAAGTTCCTTTTTTTTATTTTACGACTTGTAAGAGTTTTCTAATTTCTAGTATGGCATGTATAACTACTGACAAGGATTTTATGACACTATTTTCAATACCATTTGAACCGAAGAAGATTATTTTTTCGCCAAATAGTGAATTTTTCCAAGACGGTAATACTGTTTGTAAACTTAGAGAAAAATTACTCGCAGTTGATATTGATAATGAAGATCTACTTCACATTTCACATCCCGAATTTCGATGTGGCGAATCAGGATGTAGAGTTGCGTTTACAAATGTTCATGAATATGAAATTCATTATCGTAGTGCTCATTGTCTTGTTTGCAGTGAATGCAAAAAAACATTTCCGAATTACAACTTGCTAGATATTCATATTCAAGAAAAGCACGATTCTTATTTCAGTGCAGCAAAGGAAAAGAATCGTGCTCAGTGTTCATGTTTTATTGAAGGTTGTAATGAAGCATTCATCACATCTGAAATGCGAAATGAACATGTAATTAAAGCTCATAATTATCCTCCCAATTTCAAATATCAGCCATTGAAAACGGCTACCAGTGATCACGAAAAAATGGATTTATCACAAGAAGATACTTTTAAATCTACGAATTCACTTCCGAGTGGAACTTCGAAATCTTCAGTCCCTCGTAGAATATGTTTCGGACGTGGTTTACAGCCGACATTTATGAGGCAAAGTAAAAAACATGCATCATCTCGCGATATTACAATGAAAGAATTATCAGATGCCTTGTAATAATTTCCATGACGTGTGAAAATTTATATTCTCTTAGGAAGCACTTCCGACTGATCATAATGCTTTTTACAATTTAGAGAATTTTATATGCTAACAAGTGATATGAAAGAAGTTGAGGATTGTTACTAATATCTAAAAATTGGTACCAAAAGTTTAATCCCTAATTGTTGCATTTTATTATAAAATGCAGCACGCATATTTTTTTTGTTATTCTCATATATATAAAAGAGTATCTTGGATTGTGGAATTGGAAATAATAAGGTTCATTATTATCATTTATTTATTTTAAGCTGAATTTCTTGGTAACTAGTGATAATAAATCAGCTTTCAAAACAGATTCAGTTCCTTGATTATTTGTTGTTAAATTGTGCCTGTATGTTTATTTAACATTAACTTTCTATAGGTTTGTATAAAATTAGAAATGAAAGTATTTTGGGTTGATCTTTACAATATGGTAACTGGTAGTTTGGCGACATTTTGGAGGCGATAAAGGTTACTACCTGGGACCTTGGTAATAATGTGAGCAGTACTCAGTTCCGATTTACGCATTATTTTGCGTGAGGAAAATGAGAGATCATGGGATATGTCATGTGATATTAATGGACACGAATTACGGTTCTTTAATCGGAAAAGGGGGGAAATCGGGAAAAAATGTGGAAATTTTGTATTTAGCTTTATTCTGTGTTGTGTGGAAACAGTGTTGTTTAATTTTGGATCCCATGGCCCTAACTAAAGTGAATTCGAAATGGGTATTTAGGCATTGTGATAAAGAGAAGTTTGCTTTTATTTAGCGGAGGAAGTATGGAGGAAAAATTCGCAGAAAAATCTTTCAATAATTTTATTGAATGAATTAGAAAAGTGTATCCGCCACGTAATCAAGATTCTGAAGAAGATTAGGTAAGTTAGTATTTTTAATATTTGAGGATATTATTTTTATGCATTGTTCTAAATGTAAGGTGGAAAGCAATTTGGTATTATTGGGAAAATTGTTATTAGCAATGATTAGTTTAAAGTAATTAGGATTGTAAGGTAATTTTTATTAATTTAATGTATGTGCTCATTTATATTTTAAGTAGTGTTTTAAATTTAATTATATTTTAATGAAATGATAGTTATTTGGTGAATTTTATGTTTGTAGGAATTTGGTATACGTTTTAGTTGAAGTAAACGTGCATGGAAATAATTAAATATTTGATACTAAAGTATTTGTAATGCTTGCGGTATGAATTCGTTGGTGACGTGTTAAATGTAATACATGATTTAGAGGTAAAAGTTTTTGGATATTTTATTTATTTTATATGTGGAAATGTTCACATTGTAAGGGTAAATATTTTTCGCGATCAGGTAATTTTCATATATGTTCTTTTACCGGGTTTAAAGATTGAGAAAATTGTCATGTATTTTTCGTGAAATTTTTCTAATTTATGAGAAAAAAGCAGTGTACATGGATATAGTGAAGAGTGTGCACAATGCCATTTTTGTGCAATTCTGGGATTTTTTTTAAGTAAAAGTAAGTCGACGTGTACATGGTTTAGTGATATTTTAATTAAATGATAGTTATTTTGTGAATTTTATGTTTGTAGGAATTTGGTATACGTTTAAGTTGAAATAAAACGTGCATGGAAATAATTGAAATATTTGATGCTAAGTATTTGGGTTATTCTTTGGATTATGGTAACTTGGCGAAAATTTGGCCACCAACCCTGCTACAGCAACCTGCTAGTTTTTGTTTGGACGCCATTTTGTTTCACGAACTAAAGGCATGGTTTTTTTTTTTACTCAACATTTCCAACATTTTTTTCCAACAATCTGCTAGCCGAATTACGCTTATGCTAGAACTTTTATGGAATAAAAGTGCTTAATCATGACAAAGATTAGGTGCGAAATTGGGACAAAGTGCAGAATCGCCCACTGCTTGCCACGTTTTTACGAATTGCACATACACGGTATCATCCATGTACACGTTGACCTATTTTCACTTAAAAAAAATCCCAGAATTGCACAAAAAATGGCATTGTGCACACTCTTGACTATATCCATGTATACTGCTTAAGTCCTTGCTAGTAACCTTTATTGCCTTACCAAAATGTCGCCAAACGACCTGTTACCATATTCCAAAGATTAGCTGAAAATTTAAAACGTATTGATAGTAATGAATAATACCAAATCATTATTGAATCATGTTTGATATATCACTAACCAGTTTTTTCTTATACTGTATTTAGCAACATTATTACATATGCTGATATTGAATATAACGGGTGGCCAAAGTGCGGCTCGTGAGCCTGATACCGCTCTTGCAGTCAATTTATGTGGCTCTTGCATATAAAATATATGTATGAAATATGGTAAACTAAAACTATTCAGTGTCCCAAAAGAGGTAATTAATTAGTTTAGACTCTTTTTACAAAGTTATTTGGAATTTCTTTCTATTTAAAACCTTCTCCAATACTTCTATAATGATGTAAATATGAACTTGTGGCTTTTAGAAAATCTAGATGCGGTTCTCGAACATTCCTGAATTTAAACGTGCAGCTCTTACTGACATGAAGTTTGGCCAACTCTGGAATATAACATTGTCTATTCAAATTGCAGGTTTAACTGAACATTTATATTTCAAAACTACATTCGTTATTCTTATTTTCGATCAATCCCTATTTAAGATCAATATGTTGCAAATCTTGACATCGAGCTTCAGTGAAATTAAAATTTAGGTGATAGTTATATTATATCAGGTTCATTCTGCAATACAGCTACTGTTCCAAAGAAGCACAAATGTTTTGGTAGAAAATATAAACCTATATTTATATATTTTATTTTTATTTTTTTGATTTGGCCAATTAGTAGCTTATCATTATTAAATTGTATGTGCTGGTTCTTTACATATATTAAGTAGTCATCAATTCTTTGAAATTGATTAATCCATTCTATACATAATTAATAAAAATATTGGTACATTTCCGTTTTGTCAGCGAAGGCGATAACGTCGCCAATAATGGTACAAATGAATTTTTGTAAATTTTGATATCCTTTAGATTATAATTGTTCTTTATTTTATAAATTACGGTTTCATATTTTTAATTTTATAATTTCTGCATGCCATTTTACCAGATTTAAACTGATGATCTATAATCCGGAAAAATCGATAATCCAGAATTGGCGAAGTCCCGACGAGTCCGGATTAATGACTTTTGACTGTATTCACTTACCATGATTTTCGAGTTCGCTTCGTACACCCAGAGCTATGTAAAAATCAAAATATCAATCATACTCAAATGACTTTTTTCAAATCAGGTATTCTTTCTGATCGAACGCTTCACATAGTGACCATCTGAACCTTTCTTCTTACAAACCCATTTAAATCCATCTAAGCGGTTTTTACGTTCGACTAGACGCATATCCTTCCTACATACAGGACATTTATAATGGCTATTAAGTAAACCTTCATTTACACACCAGTCAAATAAAGCTCTTTTCCCCTTTCGCTCCAAATTGTACAGAAACTTCAAATTAATCTTACTACATTCGGCCATTCTTAACGCTTACGAAATCCCATGATTGAATCCCATGATTTGAATCCCATGATTCAAAATTTCCTAGAATCATGCACCCGATTACGTCACAATAGGGTTTCCATAACACTCAACTTCTCAGGCTACCATAAATGAAACAGCAACTTGGCGATAAATAAACAACAACTTCGCCATAATACAAGGGGTACCTTAAAGTCTACTCTACCCAAAAAATTCTTAGAGCCAACATTTTTTCATGCGTATACTGTATGTTGTCGCCAGTAAAGTCTGCTTGGCGAGATTTGCGCTGGCGAAACGGAAAAGTACCAAAATATTTTAGGCCACTCCCAATTAATTAACTTGGAACAAATTAACCAGAACTTGTCATAAAAAATTTGTTTGTTGCAGAATGATGGGAAAGTTACTATTACGAACTATTAGAATAAAATAAAAACTCTCTTTGGAGAAAACATATTAATGCAACTACTTTGTTCAAGGTACAATATTAATGCAACCAGGACTCTTCAGTTATCAGGGCTGGATTCAAAAATGTATAAAGACTGCATACACACACAAAAAAAAGGGACAGTTCTATATCTTCCGTTCTACTGGGCAGATTGACAAAATTCAAATTGTGTTTTTCATGTCTCGAAAGCGCGACTTAGGATATATATTAGATTTATATATAGTATTGTTCTAACATAGATATTTTTCTGAACTGGGACTTTTTTTGAAAAAACATACCAATAATTCTTTTCCATATTTCGATTCTACGACTCAAATTATGCCTAAATATTAAATTTTGTAAAATTTGTCGTGAAATTTACGGAGAAATTTTAAAATTTAACCGCATTTTTTTCAGTTTGCACCAAGAATAATTCACTTGGCAAACTTCTTATTATATGGCAACGTATTTTCCTTTCCCTTCCATTGTGCAGGAGTGGGAAAAAAGTCACAGTATTCTAAGCTTTTTACATTGTACATGAGCGAGAAAAAAGTTACAACGTTTCTACTTTCAAATAATTTTAACAAAGTTCCTAAACCACATTCAATGTTATCGCTTTCAACAAATATGGCAAATTTCAAAACGTGCGAATATATAAATTCATGCATATCTTCGGAAATTTTGAATAAAAAACTAATTTTTTGCTGGTATGTTTAGAAATACATCTACTTTAAGGTGATGGTAAAAATTTTATAGATTATAATCCAAATTTTTTTTGAAAATTTTTGAAAAATTATTAAAATATAATTTTTAAAAAAATTATAAAAATAGACGACTTTTTTTGGAATGAACCTAAATTTCGAAGTATCAAAGAAAGAATCAAATAAGTTTAATAAAAAAGAAGTATTAATAAATATATATCCAATTCAATTAACATTGAGGAGCTAAAAATTTTAGAGGTAATTATTTAAAAACTACTCGTGCGATTTTTATAAAATTTGGCAATTTTGGCATAATTTGAATCGTAGAAACGAAGTATGGAAAAAATTGGCGTGTCATTTCATAAAAAGTCTGATTTTGTGTCAAAATATGTATAATAGAATAATGCTATATATAAATCTAGTACATGTCGAGTGGCGCTTTCCAGACATGAAAAACACAAGTAGAATTTCGTGAATCAGCCCAGTAGAACAGGAGATATAGAACTGCCCCCCTTTTTTCTGCGCAGTGTACATATGGATACATGTGTTCATGTATTTATGCATATATGTACGTAAGTATATGTTTTTATGTATACGCACACACATACCTACATACACACATACAATTTCTGAACATGGTTCTGATAACACAAAGGTACTATGCAACCACTTTGTTA